AGAGGGTAGATGTAGAGTTAGAGGGTAGATGTAGAGTTAGAGGGTAGATGTAGAGTTAGAGGGTAGATGTAGCGTCAGAGGGTAGATGTAGAGTCAGAGGGTAGATGTAGAGTTAGAGGGTAGATGTAGAGTTAGAGGGTAGATGTAGAGTCAGAGGGTAGATGTAGAGTTAGAGTTACTGATCAGGTTCAGCTGCTTCCCTCATGTTTTTTGGAACTCAGCGTTCCTTCAGTCTGCTCTGACTGCCGCCTTCATCCTTATTGATCGTCTATAATCACCGATAATCAGTTAAAAGTTTTTGTGTCACATCCTGATCCTGAACATCTGGATCTCTGCTCAGTGTGTGTGTGATTCTCGTGACAGTGTTCAATGTGACTGAGCTGCATCAATAAACTCTCTGTTTGTGTGTCTGTGTGTTGTTGTTGTGTAGTGTCACGTGTTGAACATCCTTCTGCAGTGAACGTGACTCGTGATGTTGATCTGAAGCTCCTGTGTTGTAGATTTTTACATGTTGATCATATTTTAAAGACGTGTTCAGTAGAAATGAATTAGCCAGGTCAGGTGACCTTGGTACAGGTGAGTAAACCTGCAGGTAACACAAACCACACACCCTAACCCTAACACTTCAGGTTTTCTTCACAGATATGCAGCGACTCCTGGAACGTCTTCAAGGGCTCCAGGTACACAGACTCCTCTGAATACCTTGGAGATCCCTGGAACTTTCTCAAGGATCTTCTGTACCTTGGTTTAGGACCTTCTGGACTTTTCCTGGAGCTTCCTGAAGGTTCTCTTCAGCTCAGTGACCTCAGGATTAATCCCGCACGAGTTCAAAACATGAAGAAAAGTTTGTTTCATGGTCCTGAATAATGTTCTAATGTTCTTCATATGATGGAGCTGCAGAGTTACGGATTTCACAAGAGCTCAGTTAAAACTCTTCAAGGACCTTTCCCATTTTTAAAGACCTTCCAGGACCTTCTTCAAGGACCCACAGAGTATCTGACTGTTTCTGTTTCTGCTGGCTGAGAACTGACTTCCTGTCACCTGACCTCCCTCTGAGGACCTGATGGAGGACTGTGAGCTAATAATAGTGCATCTGTTTTAATGGGGGTGGGAGGGGGGGTAAATAAACAGCTGGGACGGGGCAGATGTCAATGAAGTCTCTGTATGTGAACCAAACACACTGTAGCCTATTCACTATTCACACACACACACACACACACACACACACACACACACACACACAGAGCTTTGAGTGTCTGCTTCAGTATAAACTCACGTTACTTGGTTCGTGTTTGTCTCCGTTTAAACTGATTCGTGTCATAATTCAGTTTGTTTCCATCTGAGGACAAGAATCTGTGAAAGTTTTTGTCCTGCTGCTCGTTAGATCCAGTTTGTCGTCAAAGTCATGAACTAGAACCAAACTCTGTTCATGACCTGAAACGCTAAATGATGAGCTCCAAGTTTTCAACCAAAAGACGGTTTGTTTGGACTTGTGGACAAGTTCAAGCTTTAACTGGTGAAGAACAGACAACAGTTGTTGTGGTCTCCTTCCCTCAGTCTCTGAGGACGTCCTGCTCTCGTCAGATCTCCTCATGGTCCATAGTCCTTCCATGTCTTATTGATGGGTTTAACTGGACTCCAGAGATGTTCAGTAACTTGTAAATGTTCTGGTATCGTCTCCTGACTGATGCTCCTCAACAACCTTTTCCCAGAGTTCTTGAAGAGTTCTTCAGTCTTCATGGTGTGGTTCTATCCAGCAGTACTGGTCCACCAGTGACTGGACCTTCCAGATACAGGAGTCTTTATACGACATTCACTGACCTCAGGAGATCTTTTCAGTTCATTGAAGATGGCTTTGACATGTTCAGACACATCAGGAGTCAGACTGAGCTGAATTACAGTTTAAAACGGTTGTATTTATGGATGTTTTCTGTCTTCTGGACATAAAATGTGAATAAAAGTCTGAGTCCGGTTTCATGTCTGCAGAACATTTTGTAGAAAATGACCCGTTGCTGAGAGACTGAACTGATATCTGACATCAGCACGACATAAACAGGAGGAAACACAAACAGACGCTCAGGCCCAATGACAGGATGTGGTCAGTCGACCCAGTTTGTCTGTACTAGTGCAGATGAGCAGATTACAGATTCTGACCTGATCCAGAACCCATTAGGGTCCTGGTTCTGTATCTGGTCCTGATCTTGATCCTGTTCATTTCTGAGTTACTGCTTAAGAAAAACTCCTGGAAAAGTTTGATCCTTATCTTTGTGTTTTCAGACCCGTTGGTGGAAGCAGCCTCAGAGCTTTAATCTGCTGTCAGAGAACTGAACCGGAATTCTGAGCCCAATGTTCTGACCCAGAACAGAGCAGATCTAAAAATAGCTCGTCCTGCCTGAGAACCAGGATGAAGACCTGAAGAGGATTTAAAATCTGCTTTCTCAGAGGAACCTTCCTAACTCTAACCCTAACCAACAATATTAGCATCAGGTTAGCATGTAGCTGCAGGCTGACTCAGAGTTCCAAGATTTGGGTTCTCCAATAGAACCACACAGATTGTCACCTCCCCCACCGCTGGGATTGTAAACACAGATCTGAACCGCGAGGCCACCACAGAGAACCTCTGTGAGAGCTGCAGAACGTCATCACAGAGAACCGCAAAAATCACTGGTTTAAAGATCTATGAACTCGAATACAAACCTGAACAGATGATGATGATGATGATGCGTTCACTAACTCTTTTTAAAGATGATGATGATGCGTTCACTAACTCTGTTTAAAGATGATGATGCGTTCACTAACTCTGTTTAAAGATGATGATGCGTTCACTAACTCTGTTTAAAGATGATGATGCGTTCACTAACTCTGTTTAAAGATGATGATGCGTTCACTAACTCTGTTTAAAGATGATGATGCGTTCACTAACTCTCTGTCAGGGACGTTTGTGTCAGTTTTGTTGCTCACCGCTCAGTTTGGGGTCGGTCTTTCTTCGTGTCCGGTCTTTTCCTCTCAGCCTGGAGAATGTTCTCTTCAGCAGAGGTTCAGCCATGTTCCTGCAGGAGAACCGACTTTAATCCAGCTGCAGGAGTCAGAGTTTGTTCTTCATGTTTCCAAACAGAACTTGAGTTTGTTCTTCATGTTTCCGAGCAGAACTTCAGCTTCTTCATGTTTCAGCTTTGACTTCTGGTCTCCTCCTTCGCTCTGAGCAGCTCAACAGGAAATAAATTCCACACATTCTTTCCCAAACTCCCCCTGTTCTCCTCCCCCTGTTCTCCTCCCCCTGTTCTCCTCCCCCTGTTCTCCTCCCACTCTCTGCCCCTGCAGGAAACAGCAGCACTGAAGCATCATGGGAGCTGTAGTTTCCTGGTCATGGTTCAGAATGTTTCCGTTGAAGCTCTGAGCTGCTGCTGGTTTTATTTAGACTTTTATTGCAGAAAACCTTCTAACTGGACAAGTTCTGATCTGATGTCAGGGATCAGGATCGGGTCATGTTTATTTCAAATGATGGGTGTCAAACCTCAGCCTGGTTCTTAGTTTCTGTCATCTCAAGGACAGGCCAGCGTGTAGCAGGATTCTGGTTCTGGTTCAGAACGTCTGCTCAGGTTCCTGCATGTGGACACTAATAGCAGAGATGACCCGATCAAGCTGCAGCATCTTCTGGACTAAAATCACCTTCACAGCTCAGCTTCCTCTGACATCAGGTCTTTTATGTTGGACTGAACATGTCTTCTGTCTGCAGAGCCTTTAAAGCATCAGGATGTTTTAAAGTGAGCTGACTGACTTGCAGGCTTCCTGGTGAACTCTGAGTGAACTCAGTGAACACAGACGTGGACACATGAGCTCATGTGAAGTTATTTCAGTAAATCTTTAGAAGTTTTTGTTTCTTTGAAATGTTTGTTGTCGTATAGAAATCGAACGTCTTTATTAAAACTGTGTGAACCGATCATCATGTTTGGACCCGACTTCAACCCACAAACCATGAACAAGCTCAAAGTTCAGAACCAGTTGTACATTTTTGATTTCTATCTACAGCTCAGAGTGTCTCTGAGACACAAAACCGCCACAACCAGACACACAGAGACCTGGTCCAGAGACCTGGTCCAGAGACCTGGACCGAGGCAGGATTCAGTCTTTCTTCTGTGAGTCGGCTCGACAAAACATA